AAAAAAAAAAAAAAAAAAAAAAAAAAAAAAAAAAATGTACAAAAAAAAAAATAAAACCCACACAACCCACCAAAGAAAAACAAATAGAAAAACAAGCATCTTTTTCTGCGTGGGCAAAGCTGAAGCCAAGTTACCCACTGTAAAAGGAGTCCCCCTGCTTCTTTCCCCAAGCATGATTCCCCCTCTTAGCACATTCTTGTTTCATTTAAAATATCAAGAGGAATTGACTACCACCAGCTCCTGACCTAGGCTCTCCAATTGTCCATTAAGCTAAAGTCAAAGTGCCTGGTTCCTTTATTTCCTTGAAAAAAAAAAAAATCAAATGAAAAAAGTTAAGTTTGCTCCTACTTTATGCAATTACCTGGTTATCAGTGTTTAAATTGTTCAGCCTTGTTTCTTTCCACCTACTATAGTTGCTGAATGAGTTAAACGCTACAACTGGATAGGTCAAAGTTGTTCTTGTTAGATGATCATTTTACATACACCATTATGAACAAATGCAGGTAAGCTTATAATTTTTGAATGGCATGAATATATCTACTGAGACAAAGCCTCTTTCACCACATCTCAAAGTCCCATAACTTAATCTTATCCAGTACCACTGAACAGCACAATTTTTCAGAAAGCAAAAGACAAGCAAAAGAAGATCCATCATTCTGAATCTTACCAAAATTGAACTCTCTCACTTTTCTCCTCCCAGTATTGGCTGCTTCATTTGTCGACTCTGTGTTCTTCGGTCTTTTGTTGGGTGGCAAGTAGTCGTCATCATCTGAAAACAAAGAAAGAAAACCTCACCAATGTTACTGCAAGGACTACTGTTTGCCATGCTGAAAGTATTTTCAAATTCAAAAGTTCTAATTGCCTGTGTAAGGGCTCAAATTTGCAAACAAAAAAAACCCCTTATGCGAGTAACTCAAAAAACACACCACCTGCTTGTATGTGAGCCATTCATAGGAGCAAGAGTGCCAGCATGTGGCAAGATGTAGCAAAAGCAAGATTTAGGTCATGTTTTCCTGAAACAGATGTTCAACGTACCAAAAACCCAATAGTGTTCTGAACAGACACACTAGGCCGAAGTCACAACAAAATATATATTTACTTTACATATTTATGATCAACTGGAATTCATCTCACCCTTCTATCTCGAAGCGTATTACCGGATCCTGAAACATCATGACTTTACAGATCATACAACATATTCCACACGAGTTTATGGTACTTTTGTCCCTGTGGAACCCAAGAGCTTTTCAGAAATCATTTAAAGCCAAAATTACGCTAAAAAAACCTACCGTCTAAAGGTGGAATTTAATTCAACAAAAGCTCAGCAAATCTAGGGCTGTGCTCTACACCAACTTTTAATTCCAGAAGATTCACAGATGAAAAACATTAAAATCAGGGGGAAAAGGCCCATTCAATTTCATTTGTGCGCTGCAGAAATCCCTTCTGGGGGAACTAGTTATGCTAAACACACTTAAGCAAGCCAAAAAAAGTGAAGGCAGCTGATGGCCTCAGATTTTACCATTCTGACGACAGAAGTTTAGCAAACCAACAAACAAGTCCAAGACTGCAGCAGAACTGTAGTTTCTCTCCCCCAGCACAATGATTTTAGCTAGGGAAACCTTTCCTGTTGGCAATGCCTCCAATCTGAGAGACACAATTAAACTAAAGAAAAAAACTGAATCCTACCTCTTGCCTGGGATGGAAAAAGCTGAAAAGATGTTGGGAACCCCCTTACCTCTCTTTTGGGCTCTATAAAAGCAGTCTCAATGCATTATAGCAGAGGACCTTAAAAGGTTTGTATTTTAAAAAGAGAAGCTTTAGAATATTTAAATCATCTGTTTCACTGCAATAATATCAGAATTATATTTTACTGTTGGAAAAGTTTAAATGTAATCCCAACACATGTCAACTCCATCCTAAAAATGTACTGCACTGAAAGACATAATTGCTAGAGGCAATTATTTTGCTGGGTCCTAAATCTTACTTACTATAGTGGCAGACATATAGGAAGCCCACCCAAAACACACTTTAGGTAATGGTAGTGCACCTAACTCAGTTTAAAAAGGGGGGGGGGGAGGCTAATTTTCAACCCATCCAAAAGTAGCTTCAGTGATGCTCGATTACCATTGCAACCGTCTCACTGAACATATGGATGAAAAATATCAAAAGTAGTTACAATTGTTTTTTCTCTTGCCAAGTGATTTTAATCAACACCAGACAAATAGATTAAACTTTCCAATAACTTACTTTGGTACAGTCCAAGCTATTGATAATTAGGAATTTGTACATGAATGAAATCAGCTTAAAAAATCCAGTTTTAATTTCTGTAAGAATGAATGTTCCAAAACAACTTTTTAAATTCAGCGTAACAAAATGATAAATGACGCTCGTACTCTTACTGCTAGAAGCATACATACAAAATACAATCATTCAAAGCCTGGCTTAATGGGTGCAAAGAGTATGCTGTTTATACTGAACTTCTATGACAGTATGTTAATACCGATGGATGATCACTGTTAGTTAAATCAGCAGGGATCCTTCAAATGCGTTTCCAAAGGAAAAAAAATGGATTATTTATTTATTAATTACAGAAAATCTTTAGAATTGCCAGAGGGGAAAAAAAGCTGACTAAAAAAAAATGTTGGCTCCTAGTGGGAGCAAATGGATCTCAACCCACTGCAGCAGCCCGCCTGGGGGGGATATGCCACCAGCATGCAGGAAAGCAGCCAAGATGCTCCTCTCTCCACTGCTGACTGGCCAAGACAGCTACCTGTTGTGCAGCCCTGCCCTTCTCCACCAAACAGAAGCAAGGGGCAGGACTGCCACTAGGCCCCCTCAGCCAACTGGTGTTGTGCGGGGCTCGCCATGGAAAAATGTGGATTTTCAAGTTTCATCAGACGTAAAAGTTTTTCTATCGTGGAAAACTAGGATCCGTGATTTTCAGGTGAAAGAAAATGATATGAACACTCTATTAGCAATTGTAAAGGCTTTTATTGCCAAGAGAAGGCAAAATATTGCAATACAGGAGTTGAAAAAAAAAAACTCACCTTCAATGGTGACCTCAACTTCAGGGTCTTCGCTTGTTTCGGAAGGGGCGTGCTGAGACGAATCTGAGGGGAAACAAACAACTTCTGAATAGCACATGCCATCTAAAGTACTCTCACCCCAAACAGTCAGCAATTTAAATGTTTAGACTGCTGCTTCTCAAAAAAGGCCCAACAGCTTCGATGCAAGTTTTAAATTCACAGAGTACACAAAACGCAGCACAAAAGATACTTTTAACATAAGCCTTTAGACAAGGGAAAGGAAATGAGGATTATGCAGGCTACGCTGCATGTGCAGCAGTGCAGAGTCGGCATTAATGACAGTCAGAAATTCCTTATTCCAGGCTTAACAGGATTAATATAAATCATAAATATTTTCTCATTGTTATCAGGGATTACTGAAAATATAAACAAAGGCTCTCTCTCCCTCACAGGTGCTTTATTTTCTCCATCATTCCCATAATATTGTCAGACATGTACTGATTACTTTACAATAATTTGCATAAGACTACAAAATCAACAGTGACAGATGACAGAAACAAACCCAAACTGACTTCAGTGGGGCAACATGCATCACTGCAGTGACCAGGATTTGACCCACCTATATTCATTCAGTGTTTACAAACAGGGAATGAATTAAATTATATCCTGATAAAATAAAGGGATGCCAATTTTGGGTTTAAATGCTTTAAACATGCAAACTGATATAGACAGTATTCCTTTCTGTTTTAGTTAAAAACTGCTAAACTTGCACATATGAAACAACACTAAGAGTTCCAAGATGGAAACAAGGGGTGTTTATTTATACACATGCTCCGGGAGCATGTGTATATGTATGTGTGGGGAGGGAAGGGGAGGCGACACTCAAGAGCCACTCTAATTAAAGCACCCAGAACATCACATGTATCAGCATCTCCATGCTGAAAAATGGCAGCAGGGGTGCTTTAACTAAAGCTCGTTGAATGAGCTTTAGTTAAAGGGCTCCTCTTGCCATTTTTCAGCACAGGGACGCTGATACACATGACACTGGTCTGCTGGAGTTACCACACTTTAACAAACTTGATTACAGCACATGGGAGCGGCGTCACTGCACATGTACAGGTACCCAAGATGCGCTAGTCTGACTGGGAATCAGGAGTGAGGATTCTCCCTTTGTCATTTCTCTTCGCTTGACACCATAGATAGAATCAGGATCCACAACTAAAATATCTTAAATAGATCATACTTCAACTCTGCCAAACCTATCATCTTGTTCACAGAAAATTTCCTGTGACAGCTGGATCTAATTCAGGTAACTCACAAACTAAAGCATGGTTAAAAGGAAAGGTTTGTGGCATCGCAGTCCTCTACCAGAGGTGAGATGAAAGCGAAGTTGCAAGAATTGAAATAGATGACAACGGGGTGATCATACAAAGACTTTTCTAAGAAATACCATAGCAGGCCAAATTCTTTTTCTTTGGTTATTTAACAGGTATACAGTTGTGGTGAATTTCATGGAAACAGAAGAACAACCACAGAGGATCAGAGAATGGCTCATCTGGTTCATCATCCAGTTTCTGACAGCAGGTAATTCAGAGGAACATGCAATAAATCATACAGTAGACTGTCATGGAGTTATGAAATACGCCACAAAGAAATTTCTCAGTGCCGTGTCAATTAGTGGTTAGTTTATGCCCTCAAGCAAGTCTTATTAAGTACAAGTATCATTATCAATTGATCTTTTCCCAGCCTTTTGGCACCAATTAACTTAATGATAACTTGAGATATAGTCGTACATTATTTAGCATTTCCCCTCTTCAATTCTAAATTTTAGAGTTCAGTTTCACCATCTCTGTCGATTATTATGACAGAAGACAAAAAAATTCCAGTTTACCACTTCTCCGCCCCTCTTTTTTTTTTTTTTACCCTAATGTACAGAAACAGCCACCACCTTTTCCAGTCTCTTTTTATATAGACATTTCTCCCCTCTCTAATCATTCTTGTTACTCTTCTCTTTTGTATTTGCTTAGTCATATTTTCCAAGTAGAATGACCATAACTGAACACAATATAGCAGCTGAAAGCATAATATCTATTTCTATAGCAGTAATATAATATTTACAATCCCATTCTTTATACACATCAACTTTTCTTGTATCACTGCAGATTTTTTCCCCTGACTGTAATGATGCTTAAAGTTCTTCCGCAGTAGTTTCACACAATTTACAATCCAGCGCTGTATTGTTAAAATGATCCCTACTTATGTGCATAACCTTACACTTACCAAAGTTGAATTTCAGCTATTATCGTGCTGCCCATTCACCCAGGGAAGGTGGGAGATAGGGATTATGATTCTGCAATGGTGTTTTACCACTACTGAACTATGGTGTGTTCCAGTGTTAATCTTTGGCTATGCTGAAAACTGACCATTGATCTCCTAGCCAGTTTCTCACTTGTGTCAGCACTTTTTCAGTACTTATGAGTAAATCTCTTTAATAATTTCTCAAGAGGAAATTTGTCAAAGACTATATAGAAAGCCAAACAACATCTATTGATTCTTCTCTTTTATGGGCACATTCAAAGAATTCTAACCGATTAGAGATGCACAATTTTCCTTCAAAAAGCCACACAAGATTGTCCATTCTATCTATCTAGCTGTTCCTTTTACTCTTTTAAATTACAAATCAATTGCCCTGGTACTGCAGTAAGATTTAATTGCTCGCAATTTCCTGAACTGGCTCTAGGACTGCTATTAAAACTTCAGAGGCCTAGATAATCACTCACTGAAAACTAAGGTGCAACTTTCAGTATTCCTACAGAAAACCTGTTCTTCTAAAGTTAAATGAAGGTTAAAGGCAGGCGTGGAAGAGAGACCCCAAATTAACAAAACAGGAGCCAAGATTGGGTATTCTTAGCAGAAGGTCTCTGGATATGAACAGTGGTACTGCCAGACACACGGTTGAGCAAACCTCTTATTTCACCTCAGGCTGCTACTCCAAGTTCCCTTTTGTCCATCTAACAGTTAAGAAAAATTGGCACCGTGCTTCAGAGAGCAACACACCTGGATTATGTTCTCTTAACACATTAATCTTATTGTTGCAGAAGGGAAAAAACAGAGGACTTGTTTTTCTTTACAAAAAGACACCCAATGCACTTCTAAATATTACAGTGGCATCTACATGCTATGGTAATTGGTGATATTTACCTCTGAAATGAAAATGATGATATGGACAAGAATGAGTATCATCAACA